TTTAGTTAGCACTTTTTGCTTTTGAAGACCTGTGAGGGTCTCTGTCTGTTACCCCTTGTCTTATACCTTATTTAATCCTGAATTCCAGGGCTCTGTTAAGGGATGTCCTCTGTTCTGGAACTATTTGAATTGTGGCCTGGCCACATCACAGCTGACGTTGGTCTATCCCTGTTGGTGCTTCATGATTGGCTGGTGCTCAGACTCACTCTGGCACAGACAGATGGACAGACACCACCCGGGTGTCATGGGTAGGCTCAGCTGTGGACCAAACTTGCCAAAAATAAAACCTTGGTGTTCTGTCTAGTCAAACCGGAGCTCCAGTGTTACTGAGTCATTATCCCATTCTTTATTGCCTGACCACTTGTGATCAGATGAGGGTTTGTTTTCCTGAGCCCTTAAGGCTGAGATGGAGAAGTGTGGGATGACAGTGTGGTTAAGTGGATTTGTAACTGATGCTGTGGCCATGCCCAGGGTGGGCTGCTTAATGGATCCGTGTCAGCCTGGGGCGTGGGCTCCAGTGGTTTGCCACAGCTCTGTCCTCAGCACCATCCTGGTTAACTTTTTTTTTTTTTTCTTTAAATTAAGATGTGAAGACCCACAGACTATATTTTGCAGATGACTAATGGATGGGAGAAGTAGCTAATGCAATGGATGACAGAATTGGGATTCAGATATGATCCGAGGACGCTAAAATGCTGGGGTGTGGGGCGGGCAATCAGGTGGGATTTAAAATGGATAGAAAGTTTAGAACGATACGAACTTAGGTGCAAAAAATAATACCATGGAGGTAAGAAATAGGCACTTGTTTAAAAACTGCAGTTTGTGTTTCAGAGGACCCCTGAAGAATGATGAACACCAAACTGGGGGGAAGAGAATGTGAACAGTGAGAGATACACAGGAGTTTTAGGCTTATTAGCAATATTTTACTTCTTATGCAGGGTAGTGACTCCATGGATGTTTGTAGTATTCTTTATACCTTTCTGTCTGCCTTAAATATTTAATTTATTAAACAGACTCCAGGAGCTTTAGTGGCCCGTTAGTAGAGTAGTCGTGATGAAATTCTACAAGTGAAGTAGCAACCTAACGTCTGATAAGATCCTTCTGTTCATGGCACTGGACAGCCCATATTTGGGGTGTTATTCAGTACTGAGTGCCATATTTGAAGAGAGACACTGCAGGTGCACAAATATTAGGGCACATTCAGAGAGTGTGGGCATGGAAACTATGTGACAAATAGTAGAAGGAAATGGGTGGTATTTAGACCAATGAAGAAACGACTGAGGGGGAATGTGATGGCTGTCTTCAGCTGTTTGAGGGACTCTCAGATGGAAGAGGGAATAGATCTCTTCTACCGAAGGGCAAAATCAGGGCCATAGGTAGAATTAGTTTTCTACACAATGGAAGGAAGTGCTTTCTAATAGTCAGTCTAATAGATCAGACTTACTTGGGAGGTCAGCTCTGCACTAGAGGCGTTCCAGGATTGCCTGGCCCTGCACTGGCCAGGGATGCTGTGAGGAGCCGTCTTGCAATGAGGAGATGCACCTAACTGATCTACAAGATCCCTCTTAATTCTTCGATTTCTAAATCTTCGAAGACTTGAGCCAGTGTGACATCTGTGGCATTGCAGTGTGACACTTTGGAAGGCAGCTACGTTCACCACTGTACCACCAACACTGCCCCTATGTGACACTTTGGTTCAGAAAAATGACAGAAACCTTGCCACTTATGCCCACTTAAGTCTAACTTCCGATGCTGTGGATTCTGTGCAAAGTGTCCATGCCTACAGAGAAAGCAACTTAGGTGATGGGACTGTGTATCACACGTGGAGCTTGCACGCACACATATACCGCAGAAGTGTGATTAAGGAGGCTAGAACTTTAACGTACCATCAGAGTGTTACGTTGGTCGGTATTGCTTTGGTATGCTTTTGGTTGAATAAGGTGTTGTAATGATTATTTTTGATATGATTTGCTTGAGATGGAAAGTCAGAAATTTTCAGACTGAGTTAAGCTGAGTTCTTGGTTTTTGACCAAGAAATTTTTACTTTGTAAGCTTTAGCCTCTTTCTGTTTGTCTTATGTCTTTTTGTTGTTCCTCTATTCCTTCATTCCTGCCTTCTTTTGTGTTAAATAGATATTTTTTGGTATGCCATTTTAATTTCCTGGTTTCTTTTACTGTATTTTTTTGTTTGTTTCTTTTTTCTTAATGGTTTCCCAGGGATTGCAATGAACCTCTTAACTTAAAATAACCTGGTTTGGATTAATACGCACTTAATTCTAATAGTACACCAAAAACCCTGCTACCATATAGCTTTGTTTTGCATATGTTGGTACACTTGGATGGTGTACCAAGAGGCCTGTGGTGTCCCACAGGCCTCTGAGGCTCTGTTTGTGTTCCTCATTTTTGTGTCGTTTTTGTTTTGTTGTTTTGAGGTTTCTTTCTTTTTTATTTTTCTTCCTTGGATTAAATAATCTCAATTGACCTGTCTTTAAATTTGATGGTTTTTCTGCTAGCTCAATTTTTAAAAAACTTTTTATTTTTTTAGAGACAGGGTCTTACTATGGTGCCCAGGTTGGTCTTGAACTCCTGTCCTCAAGCAATCCTCCTGACTCAGCCTTGCCTGCTCAAATTTGTTGTTGAGCCCCTGTAGTGAATTTTTTGTTTCAGTTACTGTACTTCTCAATGTCAGAACTTCCATTTGATTGTTTTTTATAATTCCTATGTCTTTATGAGTATTCTCTATGTGGGAAGACATTGTTCTTATACTTTCCTTTATTTCTTTAGACATGCTTTCCTTTCATATTTTGAACATATTTAAAATAGCTTGTTTAAAGTCTGTTTAGTAAGCCCAATTTCTGGATTTTCTCAGGGATGGTTTCTGCTGACTGCTTTTTTCCCCTGTGTATGTGTCCTACTTCCTGTTTCTTTTCATGTCTTACAATTTTTTTGTTAAAAACTGGACAATTTAAATAATGACAATTCTGGAAATCAGTTTCTCCTCCCTCTGCAGAATTTGTTATTGCTGTTTTTTTGGGTTTTTTTCTTGTTGCTGTGGTTTGTTTAGTGACTTTTCTGGACTAATTCTCTAGTTTGTATTTTTTGTCATGTGCAGCTGCTGAAGTTGCTGCTTGGTTAGCTTAGAGCTAGTGATTAGACAGGGATTTCCTTACATCCATTGAACCATTATGTCTCTCAACTTTTGCTGAGGTGCTTTCTGTATGTTGGAGCACTCCTTTCACTGGTCTAGCAGTTTGCAGCTCTGCCTTAGCCTTCACTTCCTGCTTATGCAGATCCTCAAGGTTAGCCAGAGTTGAGAGATCAGGGCCTTCTCAGGTCTTTCTTGTGTACATGTACAGCCCTGTACACACATGTGGCATTCTAGACTCCCAGGAATATATTGGAGGCTTTCAAAGCCCCCTGTGGACGTCCCATTTCTCAGTTTCTTCTTTTAAGCTTTTTGGTCAGCCTCTTGCTAGCCCCAACTGGTAGTGCCACCTCAGGCAGCTGCAGTGTGAAAACAGTTGCCCCTATTGTTTTGGACAAATGCCCTGGAGATAGGGTAGAGAAAGCAGTCAGGTCAGATAAAGACAAGCTTTGAGCATAGAGCTTTCCAGCAAGCTGCCAGACAGGTCAAATGGTGACAGTTCTCTGGGGATTGGAATTTTGGGGAGCTCTAAACCTGTCTGGCCTTTCCAGTGACTGCTAGACTGCCAGTTTTCACAGCTGCCGAACTTGTGAAGCTATTGGTTTTTAAGGCTACCATGGAGCTGGAGGAGGAGATAGGATTAGGGCAAATTAAAACAAGTCAAAGGTCACTGTTCTTGCTGAGATTCAGCCATTTTTCGTGAATGTTCCTCAGAATGTTTCAAGCCTTTCATTAATTTCCAGAGTTCCGAAAAAGTTGGTTGTGGTCATTTTTGGCAGCCTTCTTGTTGCTTTTGTGGAGCAGGGTTTTGTAGGTCTTTACCCTGCTGTTCTAAGAGTGAACTCCCTATCAGTGTTCCATCACCCAAGGCCTTGTGTGTGAGAGTCTGCCCTGCACACACTGTGTGCTCGCTCTCGCTTTCTCTCCCATTCTCCTTTCTTGTCTCTCTGTCCTTAGAGTGGCCCTAAGGGAATGTTAAAGAGCACCGGGTACTGCAAACTACTGGTCACCACTCCCACTGTGGGCAGCAAGCACTGGGCACTTGGATCCTGCGTTCCCAGAATGCGCTGCAGACCCAGGTCACGCTGATCTGCCGGGCCAGTTTCTCATCTTGACGGCAGAGTCCATCTTTTGCACTCTGGCCAACTTTGTACGTTATCCTGTGATGAAGTAAACCCGTTTTCCCCCCAAATTAGGGTTGGAAAACAAAACACTAATAGCTAAAACGGCCATTTCCTTTGAATACTATTGGGATTTGAAACTCAGGCCAGACATAACATTGATTTCTCTGTATAGGATCTTACAGTCCCGGTTAACAGCTTGAGTTTTCTTTTAATTTTAAGAAAATCTATACATTTAAAATCTAAGTTCTCACATGTAATACGAATTTGAATTTCTTATATGACCAGAAGTTTAAGTTATGGGTTTTTGTTTTATGAAAGCCTTTCTTAGGCCATCAATCTCCAATTCTATAAATAGAAATACAAGTACTATTGGTAAAAGTAAAGAGATTCTGTTCTGAAAAGCAATGTATGATTATATAGCCAATTACCGTGTTAAAGTTTATATTTTTTTTTGCATTTTATGTATTTGTGTATTTTCTTATTCATTAGGTTTCAATTTAACCAAGTAGTCTAAAATGTGATATTATATGGTGGTACAACAATTTTGAAATCTTGAAAGATAAAACTGGAAACATTTGCTTGTATTTTTTTTCACCTCGGAGTGTTTTGTTAATGAGACATTTTATACTGCCATAAACCCAGGGCAGTAATATAGGTGTTGATTGATTTTTGGATGGCAAGGGGCTTTTCTAATTGCAAGATCTGACATTTGTGTCACTTCTGCGGTTTTAGGTGAGCAAGACATGGAAGGTGATCGCGGAAGATGAAGTGCTGTGGTACAGGCTGTGCCAGCAGGAAGGGCACCTTCCAGAGAGCAGCATCTCCGACTATTCTTGTTGGAAGCTCATCTTTCAGGAGTGCCGCGCCAAGGAACACATGTTAAGAACCAACTGGAAGGTAGGCAGTGTCCAACATCATTACCTGTGGAAGAACAGTCTGCAAGGACATGGGAATCCAAGCCTTCACTCACAGCTGAGGTTAACTGCCAAAAGCAAAGGGAGTGGGGTGTGTTGAGCCACCCCTTCAGCTATTGGTGACGTGTTGCCCATTTTGTTCTCCATTAGAATATCTACGCCCATTTTCAGCCACAAGATTTGGGAGCAACTTTTTTGCTCTCCAGGAGAGGAAGGCATGAGATTGGGTTGCCAGCCACTTCCCCTCTGATTGTTAGGGTCGTTGGAGGAGGCTCAGTGCAGCCCCTTTCGCTTTTACCAGCACCCTGGAGGGACCAAGAAAGCAAAAGCACCACCTGCATACAAAGGAGGAGCTGAAAATGTCATTTCCAGTAAATGTAAGAAGGAGATTATTAAATGTCTCTAAGCACTGTCTTCTCTTCCCTCACATAACCTATTGGCTTGCTTCCATAACATTTATCACTTCAAAGTCTCTACAGAAATATTAGATCACAGCTAAGAATTTGCACAGTGAAGTGTTTCTATAGGAGATAGCTGTCAAGAGCCGTGTTACATAAAGCTGTTTGAGGCATGACAAGACAGCAGCATGGTGGCAGTGTTTCTTCCCCACTCTCAAGGCTGGATATTCAGTCATAGAGAAGGGATGGAACCATGCTCTTTTCTCTCCTGTAAAGGTCGATGCTAATAGACTTGGAGATTAACAAGCTTTTGCTCATTACTGACAGTGACATATTGCCTATGTGCATGTCTGTCCCTAGTCACCTCATAACCTGATTAGTGACCGATATGCTTGATTTGGGCAACCTCACACAGTTTCTAGCAAAGTTAATAAGAGCAGCATTTCTCTAATTCAGGGATTCTCAACCCAGTACTAGTGAGATTTGGGGCCAGATCATTCTTTGTGGTCAGGGCTGTCTTGTGCAGGATGTTGAGCAGCATCTCTGGCCTGTACCCACTAGATACCAGTAGCGTTCTCCTCCTTCCCCCAGTTGTGACAACCAAAAATATCTCCAGACATTAATAGATGTTCCCTGGGGAGCAAAATTACCCTTGGTTGAGAACCACCATCTTGAGAATTAGTGTAGCTGTTGTTTCTTAGGCTGTTAAGACACCGCCATTAATTAATTCATGCTGGACCTGTGGTCTCCGTTTGCATCTACCCAAGGTAATAAACTCCTCTGGAGAGAGCCCCTGGCATTCTCACCTGTATGTCTGGTTAGGTCTGTGTGATGGACACAGGTGAGACGCAGGCAGAAAGGTGTGACAAAGAAAGCTGCCCAGACAACCTGGGGGCCAGGAAGCAGTGGGTCTAACCCTGGTTGGAGGGGCTGCAATTTAAGGAAAGCTTGCGAGTTGGGTGTTAACTGAGGCCTTTCTGTCCAGAGACGAGGGATGCTTTTGAGATTTATAAGCATGAGAACTGGAGATACTCAGTGTCCCCTAGCTCACATTTAGAGTTATCAGACCCTGAGAGAGAGAAGCAGCCATATTTTTTTTTGCTTCCTCTTTGGTGATAGAGAAAGCAAGGGAGGCAGTCAGGTACATCCTTACTTGGGCTGGAGGTGGCAGAAGTGAATGTGGTTGAAGACCCACCTCATAGCATTTGGCACTTAAGAACACCGTAAAAGTTATATGCAATTTAAGTGAATGTCTATTTATTGTTTCTCTCAAGCACAGAGCCATGTTTGCTAAGTGTTCAAGAAATGGTTTTCGATTGAGTGAATGGGAGTAGAACTGCAGGCAGAGTGTGGAGGAGACTTCTGTTTGGAGTGTCACAGGCCCATTTTCTGACAGTGTTAATGAGAACTATATGAGTGAATTATAAATGATGCATCTTTCATTAAATGTAATTTTTTTTTTTTTGGAGACAGTGTCTCCCTCTATTGTCTGGGCTGGAGTGCAGTGGCATTATCATAGCTCACTGGCTCACTGCAACCTCAGACTTCTGGGCTCAAGTGAATCCTCCTATCTCAGCCTCCTGAGTAGCTGGGACTATTGGTGTGTGCCATCACACCTGGCTAATTTTTTTTATTTTTTGTAAAGATGGGGTCTCACTGTTGCCCAGGCTGGTCTTGAACTCCCAGCCTCAAGCAGTCTTCCTGCCTTGGCCTCCCAAAGTACTAGGATTATAGGTATGAACCAATGTACCTGGCCAGATTCTTCCTGTAATTCTACAATGAAAGACACCCTTATCAAAACATGAAAGATAGCATTAGGGCAAATTGCTTTACCTTTGTCTGCCTCCATTTTCCCATCTCTGTGGGGCTGAGTAGCACCGCTCATAGTGTTATGGTGAGGACAACTATAAACTGTAGCAGTATATCTAACACTCCTCCTAGGAGCTCATAGGCCTTTGCACACAGATATGGTGGGTCTGTGCTATTCATGGTTGACTTCAGGATGAACTGAGCAGGTGATTTGGTTGGTACTTCCTAGGTCAGTGTCTGGGGAAACCCCAGAGTTCTCAGGTGCCCTCACAAAGGGAGTGGCCTGTAAATGCATGAACTTACTTGGACCTGCAGTTCAGAGCCAACCTGGAAACAGTTTGATAAACTGATTGTGGCGGCCGTAGCGTTTCTTTTCCTGGTGTTCGCATAAATTTTTTTTTTCACTCTGGCTGTCTAGGATCTCTCTGTGACTGAATACCAATGTGGGGTTGGAGCCCGTGAAGGGGAGGAAAGCCACAGGACAGAAATTAGGAAATGCCCTGATCACACAGGTTTTCATCTTAGGCCCTTTTCTTTTCTTTGAATACCTTTTCCCTCCAAAGAGCTCTTCTGTTCTTGTAACTTTGTGGCCCTCACACAAATGAGTCTCAAATCCTTCCCTTCTTCCCCTTCTCCACCAGCAGGACAGCTCCACTTGGATATGTACAGTTTTGCCCCTCAGCCTTAGACAGAGGCCCTTGGGTTAAGTAAGATCATTATGCAGATTATCTTGTATAGTTTCTGGAGTCTAGGTGCTTAATAAATGCTGATTTTAATGGAATTGATGTCATTTTCCTAATAACAGAAATAATAATAGTAGCTACCACTTACTGAACACTTACTGTGTGCAAAGAGCTGTGCTTAGCACTTAAGCTATTTCTAACCCTTGTGCCCATCTAGCAAAATTAAAATTATGGATTATTTGGTATTCTTGAATACATTTATTCATGCTTGCTTTTTGGCTTAACTATCCCACTCTTCTCAACCTTCCATGTGTAGATAGTTTATATCCATTCAGAGTCTTTTTATTTTTATTTTTAAAATGTTTTATGTATATTTTCTGTATCAGTAATAAATGATCATGGCAAAATCATTCAAAAATCACATATTATAATGGAATACACATCTTCCTCTTGCTTCTCTCCAGCTAACACCCAGTTCTCTTCCTTAGAAGCAACCTGTGTTTAGGTTTCAGGGTTTCCTTTTAAATACTGTTTCCATGAAACTGCTGTTCTCTCAATTAGAAATAATGTCATCTCTTCTTCTCCTTTTCCCCATCCTGATCTTTGTCTATCTGTATATAATTTTTCATTTTATTCTGAGAGTTAACAGGTAAAGCATCATCAAATACCTTCTCTCCGCTGAACTGAACTTTTTAAATACACTTTATAAACTTCTTCTAATACTTGCCACTACTAGCAGGTACTTATCAGCCTGCTGTGGATTGTAGTTATTTGTAAGCACATATTTGCTTTATGTTCTGTAATCTCTGGGGCAGGGGCAGCGTCTCACATCCCATGCCCTCTAGTTCTGCGGCTTTCCATACATATGGTAACTTGTACATGCTTAATAGCTTAACACTTCAGTTACCTTCTTTGTCTTTTCGAATGCCCAGATAGCTTTGAATGCAGTACTGTACATACCATAGAAAATAACTGTGGAATGTGATGAAAGCAAAATGCTTTGTTTTTGGCTATCCCAAGAATAGTATAAACTTCATCCCCTTTTCCTTACGCAGAATCGCAAAGGTGCTGTGAGCGAGCTGGAACATGTTCCCGACGCGGTGTTATGTGATGTGCATTCTCACGATGGCGTTGTCATTGCTGGGTAAGCAAAACCATTTTCACTTAGTGCTCTTCGTCTTAAGGTCTTTCGTTTTTCACGTACCTCCCTGTGAGTCCTAGTGACCTTATCTTTCCTTGAGAGTGTGTACCTTCCTCAGTTACAGCCCACGTTGAAGACGGAAAATCTGTGATTCTGTTTGCTGGGATGCGAGAGCTCGGAAGCGAGTGGCGAGAAGCACGTTGTACAGAGCGCATCTGTAGTCCATTTGTCTCAATATGTCTTCCCAGCTTTTAAATCACTCCTGTGGCATGTTATGTTAGATTTTCATTAAGGCAAACAGTTTGTATTTTATGAAGACATAAAAAAGTCAAGCAAAAGTAATAAGTGTTGGCACAAACAGGTCCTGTTCTTATTCTCTTGTTCTGAAGCTTTTATGTGTGGCTGTGGCCACATATGATCTTTTCTCCCCACCACACCTACCACATAGTAGGTATGTGCTGCTTAAGCTGTCCTGAAATAGGCTTTTTATTTGTCTCCCTTGCCAAGAAATTTAATTTTAGTTTCTGTAAATTCCTTTGGCCTTTGTTATAAAAACCACTTTCATGAATTCTTCATATTTTGCTGCAGAGGTGCATTTCTGTATTTCTTTAACATGCAATAAGATCTGTTTTCTTTTTGGATTAGGAAGGTATTTTGAAGCACAGTCTCAAATTATATGCTTAATGCCATAAAGTAGAGACCAGAACACTTAAATTTCCAAGTCTGGATCTGCTTGTGAGCCACCTCAGGGAGGTTTCTGCTTGTAGGAAAACAAAAATAAACCTTGGACTTAATAGTAGGTGAGTCTTTTTCTTTAAATAAACATCTTTCCTTAAGCATCATTCTTTAAAAAGCACCATTTGAATTCAATTCCCAGCAGTCAGATTATTTTAATATTTTGTGGTATGCAGTGCCTATGAAAAAGTATTTTTGCTTTAAACAAGATATGCCCAGGAGTAAGGCTTTTCATCAGCTTCTGTTTCACTGGCTATGATTTAGAGGTTAATGCCCTTCCTGGGAGTGCTGTACAACTATTATTTTATAAAGATTAGTGGACCAGAAATCTGGAATTCTGTCCATCCAGTTATCCGTACGCATTGGGCTACTGTACCTCGTTGCAAAAACATGGGCGGAAGTGCTCCTGATATGCAAGGTCCTTTCTGCCCCCGAGTTCTGCGATTGGTAGTAACTCCAAAAGGTACTTGCATCATTCTAGCTTAAAGGGGTCTCTACCTAGTGTGTGAGAAGACACTTGAGGACAGAATGCTGAGATTGGACTGAAAGAGTTATAAAAAGAAATGTGAAATAAAGGAGAGACTTTAATCTCAAAGCCAATTTCATATCTGGACATGGAACACCTGAAAGCAGGCCCACTGCAAGTGAAGATGCCAGTCCGTCTTCCCCTGCCTCTCTGCTCCCTTGAGGTCTGTTCAGCATTACAGATTATGCCAGCACAAAGCAAAGCGATGGCAGAGTTTTGTGGATCAATAGCATGAAACTTGATCTGTAGGTCAGAGAGGCTCCTCATGGCTCCTCTTTCTAAGAGAACCTTACGTTTATGGCTTAGCCTGAGATACTTCAGTCTTGCTTGTATATGTAGAGCATCTTGTGTTTATCATTAAAATTTTATCTGGTGGTTACGATGCTTGTTTTCTGGGTCAGATCTTGAATCCCTTTTCATTTGAGACAGCGGTGTTTGTGGTTACCTCATTCCCAATCAATGTTGTATTCACCAGGCTTTCTACAGTTATGTATCTCCAAGGAGCTTCTTAAAGAGACAGTGGCTACCTCACCACTTCTTTCTCTTGTACTTACCTTGCATTTCTCTTATTTTTTTTCTTCCCTTCTCTTTTCTCTTTCTTTTCTACAAGTGGAATCTGTTCAGAGGCTTAGTTTTTTGTATTTAGCACTGAACTATAGAAAATTTTTGCATTTAAACCTATTAAGTGTATTTCATATCCTTGATGGAGAGCAAAGACTGTTAGAAAATCTCTTCTCACCTTTTCGCTTCTCTATAAATGTTCCTGTTTTTTTAGGGGTGACGTTGCATAGGCTTAAACTGATGTTCATTGCAGTTAGCCTCACAGTCGACCCAGTCTTGGTTCTTCCTTACTCTTTTCACACAAAACTAGAGAAACCTTACAATAGCCATTCACTCATAAACTCACCTGACAGACACTTGAGTACCTATCATGTGAACAGGACCTGGCCCCTGCCTATCTATTTTTCTAGCAGGGAAGCAGGCATTTTTCTCAAAGCATTTGAACCCTCATTCTTTTGTCCATCAAGTCTTGGCTTAGTAAAACATCTAATGAATAATTTCCACTTACATTTTCCTTATGTTCAGAGTTCTTTGACATTTGTATCCAACCTACCTTTTTTCTGATTACTCTCCTCAAGTGTCCTTTTGGTTTTTTTCCCCATACTGTTGTATTTAGTCACTTCTGACCACATTTATTTATTTCTTTTTAAAGTACAATACAGTTATGCACCACATAAGGACAGTTGAGTGAATGACGGGCCCCGTATATGATGGTGGCTATACCACGTAGTGTAGGTGTGTAGTAGGTTTGTGTAAGAATATTCTATGATGTTTGCACAACAACAAATGCTAACAAAGCATTTCTCAGAATGTATCCATCATTGAACAACGCATGACTGTATAATTCGCCTACCATAAAATTCACCCTTTCAAAATATACAATTTGGTGTTTTTTTTTGTTTTTTTTAAGTAAATCCACAAGGTCGTGCAACCAACACCATTAATTCCAGAACATTTTCATCACCCCAAAAAGAAACCCGATACCCATTAAGGCCCAATCCAGTCCTGTCTCCTTCCAGAGGTTTCTGTAGCCTGATAACCTGCCCTGCCCCAATATCTGCTTGTCTCCTAACTCCTAGAGAAGTGATTCTCTGCAGTCTCTAGGTTAGCTAAGCATGTGGCCTCATGGCTTCACTTAAATATTTTTGTTTTGCATTGTTATTTTATTTAGAAATAACTTTTCACTTTACAGCCATCTACTATGTTTTCTTTCCAGTAATTTGTAAGCATCTTTTAAAACTGGGGGTGGTATGTAATATTTCATTAATTGTATACTGTTTTGTGCGGAATAAACATTAAAATGTAATACACATGGTATTCCCCCTGCTACCTATATACTACGTGTTATATGGGAAACTAGAGAAATGCCTACTTTCTCTTGTCTGTTCTCTGATTTTCTTTTCTTTTCTTTTTTTTTTTTTGAGTCAGAGTCTGGCTCTGTTGCCCGGGCTAGAGTGCCGTGGCATCAGCCTAGCTCACAGCAACCTCAAACTCCTGGGCTCAAGCAATCCTCCTGCCTCAGCCTC